GTGTGTGTGTGTGTGTGTGTGTGTGTGTGTGCATGTCTGGGTTACTTGACTCACAATGATTGTTTCCAACTCTATTTACTTGAACATTTTAGATTTTTATTTTCATACCAGCTGCATAATAAATAATACAGTACACAATGTGCAGCATTTGATTGTCTATTCACCTGCTATTGGGTTTCTAGGCTCTTCCCATTTCCTGGCTATTGTGAATAGAGCTGCAATGAACACAAATGAGTATGTACTCTGCAGTAGGATGTAGTTACTCTTGGGTAAATTCTTAAGAGTCGTATAGCTGGATTGTGTGGTACATCTATTCCTAGCTTTGTAGGAACCTCCACACTTATTTCCATAAATTTTTTGTTAGCTGAAACAAAACTGTGTTGAAAATGCCAATTGTGTAAAAGTACTGAAAGTATGCACTTGCTTCTTGCCCAAGGATGCCCACTCTATCTTTAAAACGAATTATAACTGGGTGTGTAGTTTCATGAAATTTTATAGAGACTTGTCTGTGATGGAAAGCTCCTTGTTACAGCAAATTTCATGACACCTACCATTGCTTATTCTATGAGAATAAATCAAAAGGGATTCAGTTGCTAACATAAAAATTCAGTGTGAAAAAAATACTTCCCCTAAGATTGAGAAGTCACATGTGTTTCCTCCCAGGGCACAGCCTGTTCACCTATGTGTCATTTAGTTTAGACTGTACTTCTTACTGATAGCATGATTTTCAATCACCTCTACTTAGTCCCATTCATGTGGTACTATCACACTTGTCAAAGTACTTAAATATTTAAGTACTTCGGTACTATCATATTTTAGGACCTGCCCTATGCCAATTTGTCTTTATAAGAAGCTTCTAAAGAATCATGGGCACATCTACCCAGCACTTGGTATGCTACCATTTGTATTAGTCAGCACTCTGATGATTACAAGTGACAAAAAACTGCACACTCACTGATGCTGAAAAATAAAAACAAATTGCAGTTCAGTTCATCAAGTCTAAAAAGGCATGCTATAATGCTTGTCATAGCTGATAATCAGTGAGAATTTGAATTTCATCTTCCACTGAGAGTTTTCTCTCTTGTGTGTGATTTATTTATTGAAACAAGGCTTTTTTTCCAAGAAAAGAGTTGACAGCACAAGGTCACATCAAAGAAGAAAGCATATATACTTCCATCTTCAAAAGATAAAAGATTAGGAGTGCTTTGTGCTTCACAAGAAGAGTCGCAGAAAACTATCGTAGTGGTCCATATTCAGACTAGTTTCTACAGTGAGGAAGCATGACTTATTCTTTGGTTTGTCTGTGTCTGGTCATCGTTATATCCTAGGGCTGATAAAATTACAAGGTTTGCTGACCCCAATAAAGCATTATAGTTGATAAGAGCAATAAAACTTCACCCAAACAGCAAGGAAAAGTGGCAGCATTATCTGAGGAAGCAGGAAAATGTACAGCTATATGGCCACCCTTAATTTTTATTAAGGGTAAAGCATAAAGATCCAGGTGCCACACGAGGCCACCTCATGTCTAAGAATAATTACAGTCAAGCTGGCATTCAATGTATGTTTTTTTTCCACTCGAATTTTTTTCTTCTTTTACATTGAGATTATTTCTTGTTATATTCCGTGTCGGAAACGCATAGTGGGTTTGTGTGTCTTGGAAAAAGAAGTACAAATAGCTAATAATAAGATGCATACATTTAATCCACATGGATTAACTTTCCAGTTCTGGCTCCATCCATTCCCTTGGTTAGTCAGTTTGATGTGCCCTTTGGCTTTTTGAGACAAGATGTACCTGTGTCGTACTCAATTGTCTTCAAGCGTCTGAGTCTACTGTTTGTCTCCGTGCTGTGCTGGGATTACAGGTGTGACCCCCCACTCTTGCTCTTCCAAAATTCTTATGAAGCTTTTCTATGAGTAATTCCAACAGATTATTATTATCATTCAACTTATGCATCTATTTTGTATTGCTGTTTGGCATTGAGAGTAACTGGACAAAAGGTAACTAATACTAAGTTTTCAAATGGTTGACTCCAGTTTTTCTTGAATTACATTGAAATTGGTGATGTTTTATACAGTGAGGACATGAGGTTGGTATTAGCAGGGAAGATTGAGGGCACACACTTTGTATACACATGCTTTCATAAATATTTTATTCACATCGTATCCTGTTTTACTTTCATTTTTGTAGTAGTTATTTTTTTTCCACCTTGATAAAAGTAATGACCCAGCCTGGCGGTGCTGGTACATGCCTTTAATGCCAGCACTTACAATGCAGAGGCAGGCAAATCTCTAAGTGTGAGATTGAACAGAGTTGAGCAGAGAAAGCTCGTCTCAAAAAAATCAAAGGGAGAAAATGCGCTATGACCAAAACAAATTGTAGAAGAAAGTGTTCATTTTAGCTTATGGTTTCTGAAGGAGAGAGTCTATAGCATCAAAGATAGCATAGCTGTAGCTGTCAGGCATGGCATGAGGATCTGAAAGCTGAGAGTTCGAGTCTAGAACTACAAGCATGGAACCTGGACTCCAAATTTGATATAAATGACACTACATAATCTCAAGACTATCTCCCAGTGACATACTCCCCTCACCATGTCTGTACTGCTTAAATCGCACTCTCAAACAACATCAGCAACCAGATACCAAGATTTCAAATGTCCTAGGCTATAGGTAACAGTTGTCTTTCAAACAACGAAAATTGTATGTGCCCACAAAACTACTATATATATAGTATATGATTCTAATATTCAGGGGCCAAGATAGCATGTTACTGTTGCAGAGTACATGCATGCATTTCCCAGCAACTGAATGTCAGCTCACAACCTTATGTAACTCAAGTCCTGAGGGAGCTGATGCCCCTTCTGATCTCAGTGGACACCAGCAGTATACATAGTATGTGTACAAACATGGAGGTGAACACTCGTAAGTAAAAATAAACACATATTTAAAAACTGGATTTAAGTATTATGGTGAGGTAAATTGGTCTTAATATCAAATATGTCTCATGATTGTATGTAATTAGCTGTTAATCTCTTACACCTTGTTTTTCCATTTAATAGAAGGTTCAGGTTTTAGATTGACAAACAGAATGGGAGATTTATTTATTAATCAGCTGCTATTAAGGCTTATCCAACCCACACACATATTAGGATATGTCACTGTGCATATTAACACTTGACATGCTAGTCATTCTCTTATAAATAGTAACCTTACTAAGAAGCCACCACTCAAAAAACCTGCAGTGTAAAACATTCCCCCTTAGGAAGATGATAACTATCATTAGATAGATGCAGATGGGGAGGCTAATGCTGGTGGTGGAAATGTCTCAGTAACATATAAAACGATTGGAAAACGAGAATTTGAAAGACCACAGATCAATTACAAGACAACACTATCATATTAAAATACAGAAAAAAAGAGATTGATTAGAAGATGATAAATTAAGTGACTATCAAAGAAAATGAATGATAAAGCTGTGGTTGGTGTCTTTTATTTTTTCTTTTAGGCGTCTTGATATGTTTTTGTTCAGAATGGCTCAAAAGCAGAGGTCCCAAGTAATCCACCTGTTTTAAATATACAGTATTTGACATACAGATATAAGTTATCAAGTCTCTTTTTACGTGATGCCTTTGAAAATACCTCCGATGGGAAGGACAACTAGAAATTGCATTCTGATCACTTTCTGTGTTTCTAAAATCTTTATATCATTCTTCAGAGCTCTGTGGTTGCTACCATTAACTGAGATGTTTTGTTCACACCCCACATGCTTTCACAAAGGGAAAGAGGTTTTAATCCAGAGGGTTATTTTTATTGACTACTTTTCACTAAATAGAATCCTAAAATGTTTCATTGATTGTTTTGTTTGTTTTTCTGAATGGAAGAATACACAGACAGGTTTGATATAATCTAGGAAAATATTTCAAAGTTCCGGGTTCTCCAGAAGTGGCTTGATGTTACTTACAAAGTACCTTCCAGAGTTTAGATTCCCAGAAACCAGGCAAAAGCCTGGGACAATAATGGTATCACCTGTGATGCTAGCATTTGCTGAGGCAGACATGGGTCTGATTCCCAAGCTGCCTAACTGGAGTAGTAGAACCAGAGAGCTCTGAGATCAGAGAAGACAACAGTGCAGAAAGACACACTTGTGTGCGTGCGCGCGCGCGCACACACACACACACACCACAGAAGAGAAAACAAGAAACACAAGGAGAAAGAAATAAAATTAATGTAGTTCACCTTAGCAATGGCATTATCAGAAAGACATAGTTGGAATGGTGTACGCAGTTGAGTGACCAATCACAGAAGCACAGTATAGGTTTGTAAAGCATAAGAGGAAAGTGAGAAATTCAGCAATGATGATGATCAGTGATAGACTGAACATACCCTATGCATGGACATAACCTCCCAGTTGATGGATGATTTTGTAATGACTTAATAAAAAAATCTATGTGTGGAAGTATGTGTGCTTCGTTTCCTGAAGATCTCTTGTTCAGACAACTCTGTAAATGTTCAGGTCATCTCTTCTGTGTTTATAAAAACATGTCGATGTATTTAAAAATTCAATAACTATGAAAGTTCAAGCCTTTATATTTTAAAACCCACAGGGATTGCTGGCTCAGCATTTCCAGTTAGGTAAAGTCGAGGAGCAGCAAGCCTGCCTTATGCCAGTATACTATCATTGACACTTGGAAATAAAACAATGATCTTGGAAGGAAACAGGGACAAAGCTCACTGGATGTTTTCCCCTATCTTGGGGAAACTGCTCTAGAAGCAAAATCAAGATGGTGCATGCTGTGTTTATGGCGTGACTGCCTTGTCGATATCCAAGGAAGATGTCCTTTCCGTATAGATCTGAATGTAAATCCAGACCTGTATCGATTATTGGTCTTTTTTAACTTTTCACATTGATAAAAATTACCTAGTAGCTGAGTTTAATGTGCACTATAGGCATTGATGAGTTTTATGTGGTAGAAGATACAAACATTTCCCCCAAGGTACATGAATATTGTTTCGGTTAAGTTTAATCAATTGCTTATCATGAACATTTATTTGCCTTGAATTTTCTGAGATATTGCTTACAAACATCATGCCCAAGATAGATGTGCCTTCTGTGTCTCTGCAAGAATTCCTCTTTGCTTATGATAGCCATTTCTCAGGGAAATAAGGATGCACAGAAGATTTCAAAGTTTCCTCCACTTAACTCACTGCTTTGGAAAGAATCCCATGATGTGTGACACATACCCCTTCAGGAACCTACAGAAAACAATTTTACACAATTAACTCATTCCTTAGTGTCTAAGAAGAGAAGCTGCTAAACAATTAATTCGTCATGTTTAATTGACCAGCAATTTATGCAAATGTTGCTTGTAATTAGAAGAGAGTAAGGATATACTTCAAATTCAAATGTGCAATCCTGAGCTACGTTCTCTTGGGGCGAGTCATAATTCTCAGAGACTATTAATACGTTTTTCTTCCCTGGTGCCGCAATGGATGAGAGGGTTTTGCTGTGTTCACAAGAGGTCTTTATACACTCCTCTTATTGCCGGGAAGTTGATTAGACAAACATAATGGGACTCATCCTGTTTTGAGAGAGGAGATAAGAGATTTGTTCAGCCTCTGCCTCTCCAATGGTGACTGATTGCAATGTTCTCTTTGTGTTTCCAGCCTTATGTGGAGGAGATGTGAGAGGACCTAGTGGGACAATATTATCACCTGGTTACCCGGAATTTTATCCAAACTCTCTGAATTGCACGTGGACAGTGGATGTAACCCATGGAAAAGGTAAGTTGTTTAATTCAAGCATAGTGGATAATATCTCAGTTTTCATTGGGTCTGTTGTTAAGCCCATTTTTCATGTCCAAAGCTAGATAAGTAGAAAAGTAAGATTCAGTATAAAAAAATGCAGCATAGGCTTATATTAGCTTTTCTAGAGTATTATACCAGCCTCATTTTTAAATCAAAATTTTGCTAGTTTACCTGCCTTTTCTTATGGTATAGAAAATTAATAGTATTTGGAGTTTTCTCATCAAAAAAAATGTGAAAGACATCAACATTGCATAGACCTTCATTCATATTTATTTATACTATTAAAAGGTATTATTATAATGATATTTTCTATGAATTTATTACCTTTCCATAAACACTTCTGTGCCAAATACCAACAACAGAGCATCAGGTATGTCCTACATCATTAAGCTGACCTTTTAAAATTGTGTCGTGTGCATAGCAGATGTTAATTTTAAAAATAGGCATACAAGTGAATGGTGACATGGGACTGCAGTAGTTAATTGATGCATTTGAAATGAGACTGTAAAATTAGCAAGACAGTTCATCCTAGTAGCAGCACCAGAAAGATAATCATCCCACAGTGTTATGGTGATAATGACCCAACATTACTTACCTGGATGCGTAGACTGGTCTTTAAATTCTACTTCAAAGTAGTCTTTCATTTACAACTGTTGATACAGTGTTATTATTTATTTTATGATTGCTGTTGAAAACCCTAGTAAATGAAAAGATAAAATTAGGAATGAGAAAATATGGTCAGAATTGTTTAAATAAAAGCTTGTTTTCAGTAAATGCAAATTTGTGTTTTTAGAAATGAAATTTGCTTTTAATAAAATTCTACAGCATTGTATTGACAGGTTAGTATTATATGTGGGCTTTTTTTTAGTTAGGTTTCCTGTAGTGACTAAAATGCTACTAAGAAAAACTGTCAAAATGAGAATTCAGTAAGTAGCAGAAGCACTGAAGTTCTTAACATTATAAAACTGGTCTGTGTTGTATTCTAGGATAACAGAACTTTCTCTTGGAAATTAGAGAAAATATCCTGTCATTTCACTGTGCAGTAGATCAATGGAGTTTAAAATAAACTCCCTAGTATTACACAATAAAATGGAGGGCTCCACACTGCTTGCTGTGTAAACAGAGGTTTAATTAACACTTAAAATTTCACATCATCACAGGTTGTAAGTATTAATTAAATCAGTATTTACATGGCAGGGATGCAGGTTTAGGTGCCTTTCTTTGAAGAGCTAGGAAAGTTTGCTTGAAGCCCTGTTCCAAAGGCAAGACAAAGGGGCATGAAGGACTTCAAGTTGGGAGAAGAGTTAGCCTATCCTTTCCCAGACTACACTGATGTCTTCCTCGTGGTATCTAGAAACATGGCGGACTGTCTTTTCATGACAAGTTATTATTAACAGAAAGTTCTCCCTTTGGAAAACTTTAGTCATTTCTTAAATTGTTATAGATACTTGGATCTCTGATATTAGAACACCTCAACAAAACCTGTAAATAATAAAGTAAATCACAAAACCAACCATTATTCTAGGTTCTTCCTTTACAGACAGTGCAACTATGGGAATCCCCACCTCTAAAAGGATTCAGTATGTCACACTAAACACATGTGCTCTAAGGAGTTTCCCCTAGGGAAGCCTGTATTCATTCTCATTAACTTTTCTGATTCTATGGCACACTCGCTGATGAGTTTTTAATCACACAACTCAACTCTTTAGATTAGTGTGACTTTAGGTTACAGGTATCCCCAGTACCTAATATTGTGTCATTGTACGTTCAATAGATTTTTTCTACTTCCATAACAGACATATATTTATTCCTCCATTTCATTCTATGTTGTGACTTTAATATTCTAGGATGAAATATTAAAATTAATCCCATTTCATTTGTGTTTGCATTATATTCTCAGAGTACTCTCATACTAAAGTAAATATTAGTACATTAGAAATTTAATGACACTGCTTCTGGTTTACAGTCATATATAAAAATTTCCTTAAGTATATTTTCAAAAAAGTCTGGAAATTAATTCTAAATGGTCATGTTAGCTCTTATCTTTAAACTCAGCCCTCCAAAGGCTGAGTCATGGTGATTGTCATTTCAAGTTGCCAGTTGAACTATATAAAGATGCCCTGTATCAAAGAATAAAACAAATACATGAACAAACCAAAATTAAGCTATATCTATGTTGTCTTATGAAGATGAATAGTTAGCAAAAATAAAATCTCCATCAGAAAATCTTTAAGTTTTAATGAATAAAACAAGTATAAACCTTTAAGTTCACAAGTTGGAAAATAAAAATTAAAAAAATTCACCTTCAAGGCTATTGTTGGTGAAATCACTAACAAAACTGAGACATCTGTGCAATTTTGACTTTAAGGTCAAGCACTTTCAGGAGTATATCTAACATAAGTTACTTTAACAGAGCATCTTGAATCATCATTCTCGTGGGATTTTGAAGCCAGGGGCTTCTTCTCACTCCTCTTTTAGAATTGTGTGTCTATCTGTGTCCTTCCTGATGTCAGGCCCAGGCCTGTTCCTCTACCCAATTCTCTTTTGAAGGTAACTCCCTTCAAAAGCCTCTAATACCTCAATGACTATTACTTCTGTTTCCTTGATGCTATATAGGCTCATGTGAAGGCATTGTATAGCATTTTGAGGAGTATTTGGAATTTTGATTTTTGCTTCTTTATCCTCAGATGGACATGATTATTAATAGTCACTTAAATCTTCTTTCTAGAATGAAGTTCTAGGTTCTGTTTAAGTTTTTAATTAACTGACACTTAGGGGAACTTTAAAGATCTTGTTTGATTTTTCCAGCAGCAATGAAAACAGATTTTAATGTTTATTTCATTATTTGAAATATAGCAACATCCTTTTATTCAATGTCTAGCTGAAAGCTGGGGAAGTACTGGACAACAGTATTTACTCTGTAGGATTAAAAAATGAAGAATAAATAATTTCGGTTCAGGTATTCCTTACCCTTATTGGAAAGCCATTATATTGATATAAAGAATGAAACAAAACCAAAAGAGAACAATAACAAAAAAGCAAACAATACTATCATCTGTTGGGTCCTGGAATTGCTCAAATAACCGTGATCAGACAATCAAAGTCTATTAACCAAAAGCAACTTCTTAAAAAACACTGCAGGGGAACAAAAACTTCTACCTAGGTAGGGCCACAGAGGGGTTTCTACTCTGTGACCCTGAGCAGGGGCTAGAAACATCTTTTTATAACCAAAGGTTATACAAGGGGCAGAGAGTACATTTTGGGATTTATGGCCTCTCCAGAATGCAGTCGTAGGGTTGGGATCTACAACCCCTATGGAGTTGTACCCCTTGTGTGGGATTTACAACCTCCGAATAGAGGGTGTTAGTTCAAAATGTTTACATATTCTTGGATCTGGTCTAAAAAGAATGTGGGGCCCAAAAGAGTAAAGTAGCAATGATTAGTCCCAGTGTATACAGGCTATAGGCATATAATTTCTCATATTCCGGAACTCTTCCGTCCCTATCAGCATCATTGTTTAGCAGACACCTTCATCTTTCCTGAAAATTGATGTATGTCAGGGAACATTTAAATGTAAACATATCCATGCTCATTTTCTCCTATTTTATCCCATTGTGGCCTTGCTCTTTTCTTTCCTCAACAGCAGAAATAAAACTGAGCGATATAGACAAAGATGCAGATCCACCCTGCTTACCCTTGGCCTCTAAATGAGAACAGTCATTCTGTAAAGCCATTCTTCTCAAAACTGAGCAGATAGCCTCAGGGCCCAGTCATTCTATTCTTACCCATTAACACACAGACACAAGTGGATGAGTCCACCAAAAGTAATACTTGCTTATTCATGGTGGCACAACCAAGTTCATGATAATCAATATCCGTCCACAATTGATCAGGTGAATGAATGTACTCAATGTAACCACTCACAATTGTAGGTAGTAATGTAGATGAGCCACACAAATAGGAATGTTGAGTACTAGTCAGACCCCAAAGAATAATGATACATAATTCAATTATAGAAACTGTAAGAGCATATATATGTGTATATATGTACATACATATATATATTTATAAAATTGAAAACTAGACTGCTGTTAGAAGTGCAGGGATTGATTGTCTTTGGTAAAATGAAGTGACAGTTTTTATGTAAGGAACACCAGTGACACAAATGTTCCCATTGGTATGGGTACTGTTTGTAAACAGGTGTTTAATTACTCAAAACCCAATAACTTTACAAATAATGTCCACATTTCTGTATATTATAACAAAGTTTGGAAGGTATAAAAATAAATCAATAAGGGGTTACTATACTTTATTAACAAATAGTACCTCATTGGGTCCTCTTGGTTTATTTTTTTCTGAACTAGACTTAGACTTATTTGAAAGTTGGGAACTAGTTCCTTAATGGCTATTTTTCCTGCTGTTGAGGAGGCTGTGGAAGGAAATGGAAAAGACATGTAAATGGTCACCCGGAAGCTGCAAACAATATGTATTTTCCTTAAGCTGAAAAAAATAATGTTAACTGTTTTTCAGACATGTTTCCTTGGTTTCTAGGGTTTGACCCACAGTGTTGTTTGTAAGTATACTGAATGATATACAAGAGACAATAATTATTCCATGTGTTTGCAATATGTGATGGTGGTAGAAACATCAAGATTGCAAAGACTGTGGCTGTTGTGGCAGCTTCCTATGATTTACGAATGTGCTTTGCCGAATGCAAGTCTGGGTTTTCTATCTTGTGTTCACAGGTGTGCAGTTCAGCTTCCACACTTTCCACTTAGAAGATCATCATGACTATTTACTGATCACAGAGAATGGTAGTTTTACCCAACCCCTGGCTCGCCTCACTGGTTCTGAACTCCCTTCAACAATCAACGCTGGTCTCTATGGAAACTTCAGGGCTCAGCTACGCTTCATTTCAGACTTTTCAATCTCCTATGAAGGATTCAACATCACATTCTCTGGTGAGAAAAAAACAAAGAATCAAGGTCCACTTAGTAAACCTCAAGCAATGAAGCTTATGAAGTTATTAACATGACAAACAAAGGTGGAAAACTTGCAGGAAAGATGAAACTTTGGAAGTAGAAAAACAGGAAATATTACCTCTCAGCAAGTTTGGAATGCCTTAAGGTTGTGTGTTGTCACACATTACAGGATATTAAGCAAAGGGCAAATTAATAAGAAATAACTGAATAAATAGTCTAAAAGTCAATAAAGTTACAGTTACTTAATTTTGTTTATCTTAAACTCTTGTGATGTTTTGATGGTCAAAAGCAGCTAAAATACCTACTGAAATTAAAGGGAGTATTCCTATACATAGATACTATTTGTACTATATATAAATGATATACAAATATTATACATACTTGTAAAGAGAAGCTTTTTCCTTGAGAGGAGCCTTCCTGCCAGCCTGGTTCTAGAGCCGCATCAGTCCCAAATAAACACACAGGAGGCTATATTAGTTATGAAGCTGTTGGCCTTGCTTGTCTCTTACTGGCTAGCTCTGCTTTAAGTAATTACCCCATAATTGTTAATCTAAGTATGTCTCTTACCAGAGAATAGTTCCGGGCTCCTACCCCATGGCGTTACATCTTGAATCTCCTGTGTTTCTCCTACCCAGAATCCTCCTGGACTCCTAGTCCCTCCTATCTAGATTCCCTATTGGCCAGACAGTGCTTTATTGACAAATGCACAGGACTTCCCCAACACATACTATATATAACTATACAATACTTTTGTTGTTTCAATTAGAATAAAAAATGAGCTAGTAAAATTTATCAGGTTTTCTGTGTCTTATAAATATACACTGACTGACCAAGTTAAAAAATAAATTTACCTTCATTGTTTTGGAATACACAGTCCACAAGAACGTAAATATGAATAGGCTTTCATATACAACAGCATCATTTACAGACAAACAATACTGTTAGTATAATTCCTGACCTAAGGTTTCATGTGGGATTGTAAACTCTCATTAAAAGAAAGCAGCATAATATATATTTTCAATGGAAAAAAATTTACTTACAGTTGTACCCAAAATGTGTGGGAGGGAAATGTATCTCTCCCTGAGCATCCGACGGCAGTGTTATAACTATGGAAAGGATGAGATTAAAAAAAAAAAAGAAAAAGAAAATCTTAGCTGTGTATCCAAAGCTACCATTGCCGGGCAGTCAGCCCTCACCCAGGTGAAGATTCTCTCCTGCTGCCAGGAATCATATGCCATTGGGCTCTGTTCAGTTCCAGCATAAATATCCTACAGGGATCTTAATTCCAGAGCCCAGATGTAGTATGACTTGAGTTCCAAGAAAAGTTATTGTATCCAGGAGCATAAAAAGTTATCCCTGCCACTTGAAGTCATTTGTTATAGTTGTAATAGAGTAAATAGCTCTTTCTCTATATCTTAACAAATTAGTAAGTAAATTGCATGCTGACATCAGGACAGTGTTACATATAATGCACATACAGTGATACATATGTAATTCTGTTCCACAATAAAGTTGTTACATGTGTTCATGCACAGGTAATGCAAATGTCAATATTGTTTTAAGCAATATTTTAATTAGCTACTAGAATAATTGCAGTAACTTATAATTAGTAGTAAATAAGTATAATCAATTTAAATCTAAATATTTAAAATAGACCCAAAAATTCAAACAAAAATTTAAGGTGAAAAAATGTCCTGTTTATTTTTACTGTAATTGCTGGTAAATAAATACCCAGAAATATCTTTAAGTAAGCTGTTTCTTAGTAAGTCCATATATAAATTATAATGTTTAACACAATCCTTCGTTTACTTTTAAAATGTTTTAGGCATGTGTTTTCCCTATGTTCATTCTTTGCCTGAGGTGGGTTTCTGTATAAATACATCATGTAATCATTACCAATGTGGGGGTCCTTTGTTCTCACATAAACTTTTCCATCTCAAGTTAGAATTTTTCAGAATACAGTTTAATTTGAATGCCTGATACTGAAGGCACAGGAGCCATCCCCACTTAAATTAAAGCAGTTCAGTGAACTGTGTCTTTTTCTTTTTTCTTTTTTTTTCTGATAATGATTTCATTACAAATGTTACTTTTGTTTGAAAATACACATCTCTCGTGTCATTAGTATAATTCAAAACTCTGTGAAGTGGAAAAGATTTCAAACGCTGGGGGGAAAACATTTACAGCTTATCACTGAGGTAGCATTTTCTCATTCTCATTGAATTTCACACACAAAAGTATGCTTTTAGTTACTAGATAGAACTAGTACAAAAGAAAATGACGGCCCCATAGCATATTACTGCTCATATACATAACATAGTAAGGCCCTAAATATAATAAACGTGTCTTTAAATGATCACTTCTCTGGGTGATTTATTTGTCCCTTTCAGAGTATAACCTTGAACCTTGTGAAGACCCTGGAATCCCTCAATATGGTAGCCGAGTTGGGTCCAGCTTTGGGGTTGGTGATACCCTGGCCTTCTCGTGCTCCCTGGGGTACCGGCTGGAAGGTTCTTCGGAGATCATCTGTCTTGGCGGTGGCCGGCGAGTGTGGAGTGCACCTCTGCCAAGGTGTGTGGGTACGTGGTCAGCTGCTTTCATTTGCTTGTATGTGTAGTCACTGTCCATAAAGTTGCATGATTACACACTCCCTTCTTTTTTTTTAATAATGTGTTGAATCTCCTCATTTATTTCACATGAGTTATTTCTATTTTCTTTTCAACGTGGCTATCTGGTGCACCCCGATTATTCTGCTGCTAAAAATCAGAACAACTCTGCTTCTAAACTTGTTTTCAGATAATAACACTGAAGAGCGAATGATGAAACCGATACGCAGTTATGAGATAATTATATCGGTGATGCATAGATAAACAGGATGATAAAAATCACAAAACATGAAATAATACATGGATTCATTTCTTGAGAGTTAAAATTAACGTCTAGATTTCTCAATGAGTCCTTTCATGCAGTGTTTATTCCAAGTCTCCAAGAGTCTGATCTGCAGGGCTAATCTCTTTTTATTGTGATAACTAACTTACAACAAAGAGATTGGAACTATCAATTTGAGGATGAGAAAGATGTTTAGAAACGTAAATTGCACCGTTATCAAATGGTCCAGCACTCAGAAACCACAGTTGGACTGTTTCCATAGAAGCACTCAGCACATTGGATTCTCCTACTGTTTTGATGGTGTTTTCTGACTGATTCTTGGACGGTGTTATGGAATTCACAGGCAGAGAAGAAAATTACAAGAAAGATGTGTCCGATAGAAAACAGATAAAGAGTTAAGTCACCTATTGAAGACACAATTAATGGATTCAGATAGTTATTCATGTTGTGAAATAATGATTAGCCGTAATTTAAATATAAAAGGCCTGGGACTAAGGCAATTTTTAAAATGGATATTTTAACTAAACAAGGTACAACAATAAGGAAAATTATTTTTATTCTTATGTAAGTTATTTCCCCATTTAAAACAGAAACTCCAGAGAAGAGTAATCTCAGGGCACTGATCATTGAATAATTACCAGCAATTATTTTTATGAACTAAAAAGATATTGATGGATATATTTATAAAGAAACACGTATGATTGTGCATAATTCGACATTTCAGAACTTCAGTGTGGTGAGGGCATGCTAGACTCCTCCATACTTGAGAATCGCAGTCAGTCCTCACAATACCCAATATTATGACTTTCCTATTTTTTTTCCTATTGAACTTGAGCCTTATATGTTAAATAAGTTTGTACGTGGTAGGACTGAGTGTGGTTTGTACAAAGCTAAGTCTCCCTGTAATGCCAACTTCTGGAAACTCACCCCAGAGTAGGACTCAAAGTCACACCAATGTTTTCCTCTTAAACTGACAAATACTCAACTCTTACTGGCTCAGAAAACAATAAATATTTATATGGACACTTTAAAGGCTTATACACATTTAAAATTGATTTTAATAAATTGATCCTGGAAACCTGATAACACAATAAAACCAAAAATTTAAAGGTTATGTTATTAAACTGGTTCTCAGACTAGATTTAGGTTATTTATATAATTATCTTTAATTGAAATCATGAAAAAAAATGATTTAGATAAATTTAGAAAACTAATTTTTCCAGGACTGTTCAATCCATTTTTCAAATTAAAAATAAAAAATCTGTTCCTACTTTTAAACTGATTGAAAATTACAATTGAGTCTATTGACCTTAATATTTCCCATTTAAGCACTTGGGAGGCAGAGACACTCAGATCTTTGTGACTTCAAGGCCAGCCTTGTCTACAAAGCTACACAGAGAAACCCTGTGTCAAAAAAAAATTTCCATTTCATGTATGCATTTCAGTTGCAACACTGAATGACTAAAAGCTATAGAATATGCTTTTATAATACTATAATTTATTTAAAATTTCTCCACTAATTTATGTTTTATAGCAATATTTTTTTCTTTTTTTGTATTCATTTTATTTTGTGTTCTGGGTCCACATATTTGTCTGTATAATTCTCTTGAGTTTTAGAGATAGGTCACCATAGTTAGATGAAAAACAGTTTACATCATTTGACATTACTCATATTAAAAGATGCCTTACTTCACTGTATTTTCAGACAGACAGATGCATAGATAATAGATAGAGATGGGGTCTAATTCAGTAACCTTGAGTGCTCTAAAACCTATTATGTAGTTCAAGTTGGCTTTTAACTTTCGTTATCTCTCCCTATTTAGATTTCTGGGTAATGGGAGATAGGCATGAACCATGATAACAAGCCAGATGGCCAATCAGAAAAGCTACTTTATTTGGACAATTTTTTTCTGTCAAGTTATTTATTCATTTTACTTCCTGTAATTCTACCACAGTCAAATTCTGTTTAATATTTGCTTACTAAGTCTTCTTTAGTCATCAACATTGTAACCCTTAGAGAAAGCTCATGCTGTGCAAGGTGGTCTAACGCGAAAAATGAAAACATAGAGACTGATATTGGGGTTCAAGCTGAAGATCAGAAAAGCAAAGCAAAGCAGCCAGTCAGAAACTCAGTCTACAAATGGTGTCCATACGTTTGGCAAGAATTCCCACGTAAAACCTGACAAACGCTTGAAAAAGGGTTCCGAATGCACAAAAACCAAGCTGTGCTGGGCTTTCCTAGTCTCAGAGTCTCCCGCTGGTCACGGGGCAGAGGTGCTGTGGCAGTTGGGCTTGAACCGATCATAGTAGATTTCCGCCGCTGTATACAGAGGTTGCATTTCCAAGCTGCACAAAAAGCTTTATGGCCAATGTGCTCCAAGCTGCTTCATGTTGGCATACACCAGAATCGATTCAACAGACTCTTATGGACAATTTAGGCACCAGTCATCACATGAATAGACACACATGAAGGCAAAACACCCATACACAGAATATAGTGTGAAACCCAACAAAAGAAAATAATTCAAAAAATCTTTCTTCCGAGCATTGGTGGCACATGCCTTTAATCCCAACACTCAGGAGGTAGAGGCAGGTGAATCTCTGTGAGTTTGAGGCCAGCCTGGTCTACAGAGCGAGTTCCAGGACAGCCTCCAAAGCAATACAGAGAGACCCAGTATTGAAAAACCAAAAATAAATAAATAAGTTTCTTATT